ATCAAGAATGAAACTCAAACCTGAACCACACCCACAACCATATAGAGTAGCTTGGGTAGATAGGACTTCTCTACCCATAATCGAGAGGTGTTTGGTTCCCATCCAAATTTGTGATTATTCAGACAAGATTTGGCGTGATGTTCTACCTATGGATGTTTCTCATGTCTTATTGGGGTGTTCATGGTTATATGATATGAATGTTACCTATTATGGATGACAATCATCAAGCACAATGGGAATCTATTGTTGTGATACTAGCTAAACCATCTGAGAAGAATATATCCAAAAAGGTTTTCCCAATTGACCCTCCAGAAAGGAAACCTTTGCACATTCTGATTAGAAAAGAATTTGAAAAGGCAGGCAGTCAGGTCTAGTCTTGATTGTTGTTGCCAAAGAGGACACAAGGGTTGCTCCTGTAGAGTCAACTACAAATTCACCTTAGATCACAACCCTATTGAAGGAATTCTAGGATGTGGCCCTAGAAGAATCGACAAGTGAATTACCACCTTTGTGGGACATTCAACATGCCATTGAATTAGTCCCAGGATCTTAGTTGCCTAACCTCCCACATTATAGGATGAATCCAAAGGAGCATGCTGAATTGCAATGATAAGTAGATGAACTTTTAAAAAGAGGTTTCATTTGTGAGAGTTTAAGTCCATGTGCTGTGCCAACCCTATTAACCCCTAAGAAAGATAGGTCTTAGAGAATGTATATAGATAGTTGTGCAATCAATAAGATCACATATAAATATAGATTCCTGATACCTTGGCTTGATGATATGTTGTATCTCATGGCTGGTGCACAATGGTTTTGTAAGATTGAAACTGTAAGTCAGAGGAAAAAGTGAGAGAAGTAACCCTATATATTTAGGAAATAAGGCACCTCTCAAGAAACTATAAAAATTAATCTTGAATAAATAATTAGGAACAAAAAAGTAAGGGTAGCTAGACTCTTGCTCTCAAATTAAGATGTAGAGAATTTGTTTAGGTGGTTCTGTGCATTGGGATTTAAAGAGCAGTATACCATAAATTGTTTTTTTGGCTTTTGTGCTTTTATTGTACATACTCATTCATATACTTGAATGAAAATTTTGATTATTCATTGAAGATAAAAGAAAAAAAAGAAAGAAATCCAGGGAATGACCTGTACAAGTCAGTCCTCTTCACTCCTCTATTCATGCTATCAGCCAATGAGTTTGCTGATGTCTGGATCTATCTAAATGATATGTTCACTCTAGATGCTATGGTCCTAAGCCTCCTGATATGGTATCATAGAACGAAAGGTGCCTCACTGCCATCTCTAGTCCAGTCAATTGTAAACCCTTGAATTCCTTTCCAGCTCCACATGAGAAAGGCTAACAGTAGGCATCAACCTGAGACCTTCTGTAACTACTAAAACTTATTTACTTCACCTTGATCATGATATGAATAATGGTTACCACCTTGTTGAAAACTTTTTCATGTATAATTCTTTGGTCATGTCTAATTCTCTTTGACTAGTTTAGTTATTTACTTTTCTCTCATTAGGCTTTCTGTAATAGCAAATTTATAAAATGTTGATTGACTGCTTTTTACTTTCCAGAGTCTTGTTTCCCAAAAAGGGAGTGAGGTGAATCTGACATTGGGTGGTATTGATTTAAACAACTCAGGCAGGTTGGCTACTTCTTTGAATTCCACATTTCTTATTATTTGGACTTCTCATATTGGTTGTCTCAGTGTTTCATATTTATTCAGATCAGTTGCAATCAACTAGGTGATTCCATCTAGTTGAGATAGGTTTACTTGAAAGTATGTTGCTATTAGCTATTAATATTTTCATGCACAAATCGTGTAGTGTGGTTGTCAGAGCTGATAAAAAACTCTTAACTGTGCTTTTTCCTGATGGTCGTGATGGGCGAACTTTTACACTCAAGGTATTTCCTTTTCCCGTTTTCTTCTTAAATTTTTTTGTTTGGAAATGCTTCATAGGTTTCTCTTATTCTTACTTTTTCCACGAAGGTTTCATAAACTACATTTTTCTAGTTTACTTTCAAGAAAAAAATTGAAACCAAATAATACGATCTTTTTGCTTTAATGTCCTCCATGAAGAACTAACAATAAGATTCCAACTGCCAACTTTAGTTCCCTCTTTTGCCTTATTATGTTATGAAAGATCTCTTTACCTTAATGTGAAAGGCTGATTGGTTATTCTCTGTTTTGTATTATAAATCACTGTTTCAAACATTTGCCCCTAGTGTAGAAGAAAGTTGCCAATTATTTTGATAATATGCAGTGTTTTCAACCCATCATCGACCTGGTGACCTGGTCACAGTTCCAGTTTGGGTCAACCTCTGACCTGCCATATTACAAAAAACTGTTAAATTGGAGTGTTAATCTGTTGACTTTTTGTATTTATTTTTTATTTTTTAGTTGTTATGACATCACGGGTTGATCTGTTGACCTGGAGGGAAAAACCAGTTCAGCTTCCAGATTGGATTAAAACATTGATTACATAGTAAGAAAAGAGTTTCCTTTGTTGGTGCCAGATTTAATGTAACCAAAAATTGCACACTAGCACACAAATAATAGAGGAAGATTTCTTACAGCAACTAATAGAAGTAGATTGAGAACAGACAAATCAGTTCTCAATAGCAGTCGGCTAGAGACAACAATAGAAGAAGGTCAATTCCTTTCTTGCTGAAAAGAGAAACAGTTCAATAACAAAAAATGAACAATGGTGTGAATAATAATAGAAGCCTTTATAATCTCTTAAAGCCTTATAAAACATTAATATTAGTTACTTAAACTAAACCTGGTTGTTGGACACTACTGAGAGACACCAGAATGGCAAATTATACTCTCCAAAATTGAAAGGCAAACTGTAATTTACTACTAACCCAATTGACATGAAATTTGAACCATAAACTCCTTATTGTGGGGCAATTGGTCCAAGGTATTGAGCCCATTGGTCAAATGTTTGATTTTGACCTTGACCAACTATTAACAGTCAAAGAAACCCAGCAACAGTAACCTCTTCTGATGAAAGCCTTGCTATAGTTCAATTAGCTTGAGATTTCCGTTAGACTTCTTAAGTTTCAAAATATCCAAATTTCATCCTAATCCAATGGTCATATTAAAAGATTAAGTTTGAGATGCACATAAGTTTGGGCTGTTGACATGCCATCCAGTATTCAAATCTTTGGTTGTAGAAACAAAATTCCCCTGATATTTATTCTAATTGTTATCTGTCTTGTGGATTTAATGTGAATTTGAGTTGTGTAACTTTTGAAGAGTCAGAGTAACGTTTTTATGTCTCCCTCTCCATCAATGTGCAACCCTTGTTTTACCTTTTCCTCTCTTCTTTCTTGACAATCTTCTTTGATTCGAGGTTTTTTTGGGATATTTACATCCTTGTATGTAAGTGATTTTGTTTTGCCACCTTATTTTCAGCCAATGTTTCTCACAAAAGTACAAGGAGCTCTATTGTTATTCTTTCAAGTTTGGAGTTGTCACTGCCATTTAACTATTTTTTATATGCTAGGCTGAGACTACTGAGGATCTATATGAGTGGAAGGCTGCACTTGAGAATGCCTTGTCTCAAGCACCAAGTGCAACAATGGGACAAAATGGCATCTTCCGGAATGATCCAGCTGATTCAGTTGATGGTGAACAGGGTATGTGATTGATTAACTTCAACTTTCATATGTATTGGATGCCTTGTAGCCTACATTATATGGTTTTTTGCATTGCTGTATAATTTTCAATTATAAGCTTAAGCTGCTTGCATATCTCTATAAATCCAGCTATCACCTGCGGCATGAACATTACTGTGACATATACATAAAAAAACCTGTACTTTTAGTGAAAATACATTTACTATTCTTATTTTGCATAAGAGGTAAGCAGTATGTAGAAAAAAGTGAAAGTCTTTAATTTTCTGCTGTTTTTCTTTTTTGTTTTATTTTCTTAGTGATTATGGGCTAGTAGTTAGTGGGCTATTGACCTGTTTTATTTCTTCATTGACTTCTATTAGTGTGGTCTCCTAATTAGGGGCAAGAATGTAATTTTTCTTTATATTACAGCAGAATATATAAGACAATGGGCTCTCTCTTTTTTGCCTTAAAACCTGTTATTCCATTCTTCTCTTTTCTCTCACTTCTATTTTTCTCACCTGAAATCACTTTTTACATTCAGTTTTATTAGTTTTATTGAGTCTACTGCTGTGTTGAGGACAAGTTGGTAAGAGCTTCCCTAGTGGTTCTAGACTGGAAATTTTGTCGTTAATGGGTTATACAATGGTCTTTACCTGAATAGTTTGCTTACTTGGTTCTTCACTCGACATTAACCTTTCTGTATCTTTTTTTTTTTTCAATTTATTATTAGGGAAGGATAGGAACCCTGCGAAGTCATCGGTTATTGGTAGGCCTGTATTGTTTGCTTTAGAAGATGTTGACGGAACTCCATCCTTCTTGGAGAAAGCACTTCAGTTTATAGAAGAGCATGGTAAGAATTCTTCAATATGATATTGAAGTTTTATTTTCTATATAACCATTGCCACTTCATCATTCCAAGTTTTAAAGCAAAAGTCAAACTTTTATTTTTGGCTTACTTTTTCCATGAATATTTATCTACTGTATTATATTTATTTAATATGAGGAACTTATTATTGATGACCAGACATCTCCATGTCTGGACTACAAATTTTCCTGGTTCATGTTTTTCCTGCTTTATATAAATTAGGAACTAATCTTATATTGTACATTGCAAAACCTTATATATGGTATTTCTAAACCTTGTATTTGCATTGTACATATTTGAATATGTATGCTTCTCAACCTGAGACTTAGGTATTTTTGATAGAAGTTGATACTTTGATGTTTTAAGCAATGACATTACAGGGAGGGTGTTAAGCATGGTTATTGAGCCATTGTAAAAACCATACTTCATATTTGCTGAACTCGTGACTATGATAACTAGACAAATGACTCCTAAGGACCGAACTCAATATCAATGAATAGAAAATGACAAAATTGTAATAGGATTGGCTTGTGGCCTCATGGTTTCATGGCATAGTCTCCTCTGTCTATGGACCTAATGAGAATGCAAAAGATAATTGCTCTGGGCAGAAGACATACAAAAACAAAACAATCTCTTCTTTGGTGCACTGGGGCAGACTTTAGTATCATATTTTTGATAAAAAGGTGGATCTAGAATCACTTCAGGCATGCAAGGATTTTCTTCATTTATCAACCACCGTGAGCTTCTAGATCCCCCTTTGAAAGGTGTTACTTGGACTAACATTCAAGAGGAACCTGCCCTTGTAACCTTGTTCAGCTGGACCATTTCCTCACTTTTCCGATTGGGAGGACAACTTCCTTGCCACTCATCAAGAGGCCCTCCCTAGGCCTCTTTCTGATCACTCCCCTATCACGTTAATTGGCGGTTCCTTCTTTAGAGCCCCCGGTCCATTCCAGTTTGAATACCATTGGCTGGAAGAGGATGGTTTCAAGGATAAGAATGTTCAGTGTAGTGCTCCCATATCTCTGAAAAGAAGCTTCATAACCTCAAAAGGGACATTAAGACGTGGAAGAAATCTACTCTATTCTCCTTATCCAAGCAGAAAGAGGACTGCTTAGGAGCTATCTGAGAAATTGATAAAAAAGAAAAGTGGCAGTGCATTTCCTTCGAGGAGAAGAAGCAAAGAGCCAACTCAAAGAAGCATTTTGACAAAATTTCTTACAAGGAAGAGATCACGTGGAGGCAGTGGGCCTGCATAACATGGCTAAAAGAGGGTGAAAACGACATAGCTTTTTACACAAATTAGCAAATGCCTTAGCCAAATTAAATTTGATTACTAGAGTCAAAAACAATGGCAGGTTGGTTGAAAACTTAGATTCATTTAGTGAATAGCACTATGATGGCCTGTAGCTCCAAGCTCTCCAATAATTAGCAAGCAGCTCTTGAAGCTACAGTACAGAACATGAACTGTGGGATGCAATCATAAACCTTGATGGTGATAAGGCACCCTGTTCTGATTGCTTCAACCTTGAATTCTTCAGGTGCTGCTGGGAGACCAACAAAGTAGATCTACTCCAAGATCTTGTTGATTTCCATGACAATGGCTCTTTTGAGAGGTGTCTAAATAACACCTTTGTAATCTGAAGAGCTATACTTGAAGTAGCAAGGAAGAGAAGAGAACCACAGAACTGAAGAGAATGTCGAACTGTACTAGCCAGTCGACCAGTCCTTTATTTATAGATGAATATAGTACAAGGTACAAGAAATTACTGGGATGCCCCTGATTAGTGATGGGACACCCAGATGACTTAAATCATTAAACAGGATTAGGCCCATTAACACAAGCCCAGTTACAAGATAAGTTAAACATAAGAATGGGCTAATAAGAACTCTTATCAGCCGAACATCACTCTAATATTCTAACAACCTTCATTTAAAGGGAGGGTGGAGTGCATCAAGGACTATATTCCTATTAGCCTTTGTGGTAGTTTCTACAAGATCCTTCCTAAAATACTAGCCACTAGACTTAAACAAGTGCTTCTAACATCATTTCTTCCTCCAAAGGGGCATTTATGCCTGAGAGACAAATTTTTGATGACATTCTTGTGGCCAATGAGTTAATTGACTCAAGGTTGAAGTTAGATGAACTGGGGGTACTACGCAAGCTGGACTTGGAAATGATATGTTGTTTTTACTAATGGAGCTCCAATTCTTCACTTCAAGAGCTCTAGGGGTTTGAGGCAGGGGTGGTGGTATCTAGTCCTTTGAACTTTGTGTTGTGACAAAGGCCTCTTTGAACTTATGGATTCCAGCACTTTTCCCCCTGACCCGCTGATGGGGTTAAAGGTGAAACTAAAATTACTAACTTACCCATTCAAGATTCTATGGGATGACAACAACAAATATAAAAATTTTGAAAATAACCATTCTAAAGCACTAATCATTCTCAAGATGTTGATAAACTGATATTCTCAAGGTGTTGTCAAGATAAACTTTATTGAAAGAAAGTTGAGAAAAACATGTGAGAGTTAGAAGTTTAGAAAAACTGAATCAAAAGGGTAGTTTGTGGTTTTCGAAATGTTCAATGGAATATTCCATGAAGTTAACTAACAGAATGCAAAAGACAGGGAAAAGTGTTGGAATTCAGAAGTCCAGGGCGTCTTCATTGCAAAACAAAGTTTGGGGGGCTAAGTATCACCACCCCGTAAGTGCAGGGTGGCTGCCTGTAATTTGCCCTTATTAACATTACAACTTTATTTGTTTCATTTTGTTGATGGTTTGCTGGAATTGGATGCGAGTTCTTTTTTAATAGTAATTGGTTTCAGAAAAAAAAAAAAAGAACTAGAAATCCCATAGAATATGAACCAAAACAGCAGTATGACTGAAGTTATTAGGAAGAAAATAGAGTTAAAGAAATGAAATAATAAAAAGATAAATGAAAAAATTCCAACTCTGGAATAATGATTTTTCCATTTAAACATAAAACTGGAAAGCCATGGAACTAAATCTTCAAAACACTTTTTAAAATAGGAGTTTATGTTGAATTTAGGTGAATTTCCCTGCACCATAAATGGGTAAATTTTAAAATTAAAAATATATAAAAGATGATATTCAAAGAAAAGTTTCTAGCAATCTGCATTGCATGCAAACAGAAAAGGATTAGTCTTGGATGCCTTGCCATTTGGTGGCTGGTCAGTGAATGTTACTACTAGTTAAATGCTACCGACAGATCACAGGTGTTAGGTATTGCTATGAAATAAATCCTTAGAAAATTGAAAATAAAATCTAGAAAACCAAAGAACAAAAAAAGATGAAAAACAGAGCCCTATTTGATTTCTATGTTCCCATCTTCTCAAGTTATTTCTTAACTGGCATGGTTGGTAGCGGGTCACTAGTTTGGGGGAAAGGTACTCATCCTGCTCTTAGCAACTTAGTAAAAGGGAGGAAGCAGCAGTGAGAAACTCAGAAGCATCACAACAGCTTTTCTACAAAACTTTGCATTTCTTAACATGCTAGGGATTTTTTATGGTTTTATATGTTTCTCTTTGTTGATTGTAATAAGACATAATGGGGCTTAACTTCTTCAAATATCCTTGTAAGAATATATACATGTTAAAATTTTATAAAGAGTACATTTGTTAAGATATGTACACATGCATATTTAATAGATGTTATAATTGAATTGAGTTGGATTAATATCGAGTTCAAATTGGGGTCTATCTGAATTTGATCTGATTAGTAACTGAACTCTATGTGAATATTCGAATTCTATCTGTTTATTGTTATTGGATATTTGACTCCACTATACATGAATCACATTTGAATTGGACTGGATCAATATCCACTTCAATTGCAGACCTTGAAATAATGTAACCTTGGTAGCAACATGGATAACTAGTCCTCCAAGGAAACTCTTGAATAAGGCAACTCGAAGATTTCAAATATGGTGACAAATAGCTCTTACACCACATCAACATGGATCCAATCAACTTGAAAAACATTCATGGAAGCACACTGAAGGTTCTGAGCAAGAAGAATAGAAGATAGAAAAGGGAAGAAAAGAGAGAATAGAAGAGTGGACAGCAGCTTAGCTTCTGCCTAACCCTAATTGATATTTAAACTAAGGTAAAAAGAAAATTGCAAGTACAAAAATACCCCTCATTAGGTGGGTATAAAAGATGAGTTTAAAGTATGTAAGCCCAGACCTGCAAAGCCCAATAATAAAATAAGAAGACTAATACAATGATAGGACAAACCCTATAGAACTATGTCTTGCAACACTCAAGTTGAGTGTAAATATCCAGCAACAATTCATGGAATCCTGTCTTTGGTAATCCTTTGAAGTTTATAATTGTGTTTATTGGAAACTAGAGGTATTTTTTTCAAGTTATTCTGACTTCACTAAACATAGTTTCTAGAGAATTTGACTTTAGATATTACATATTAAAAAATGTTCAAAATTATCATCTATACTTGGTTTTCTGTTCTTTGTAGACAATGGAAGAAAAAAATACAAATAGCATAAATGTTCTATAAATAAGTAACAAATTGTAAAGATATTATTGTGTCAGTTTATTGAATCTGAGCTTCTCTAGACTCCTTGAACAGGTGTTAAAGTAGAAGGTATCTTACGACAAGCTGCTGATGTTGATGATGTTGAACGCCGAATTCAGGAATATGAGCAGGGTCTGTCAGTTTGAACTCATCAGGGTTCTTCTCGTTTTTTATTTCTTTGGGAAAATAAATATGAACTGGAGTAGCTTTTATGCTTTATTTGTTATGATTTGTCTTTGAGAAGGTTTTGTTCTAATCCATTAATTGGAAGCAAAATTTTATTTTTTTCCATTTCTCATCATTCATCCTTTGTTCACAGTTATTATATAAATACTGCATTGTTCTTAGACATCTTGAATGTTTCCAGGGAAAACTGAGTTTTCTCCTGACGAGGATGCACATGTCATTGGTGATTGTATCAAGGTACTCTGTTCTTAAAATCAATAAATGACAGAATTTCAAACTTTTTCTTATGACAATCCTCAGAAATATGCATTTCCTAATATATTTTCTACTTTTTATACTATTCCAGTATATCCTTCGGGAGATACCATCATATCCAGTTCCAGCATCATGTTGCAATGCATTATTAGATGCATGTCGTAAGTATTTATTTTGGCAATATCTAATTTTATTATTCATCATTAGCATATATTGGTTATTTTTCCATCAGTCTTTCAACCTCTCTAGTATTTCATTATTGGATGGATGAGGATGAACTTGAATTAATTGAGTCTGTTTGAGTTATTATAGCTTATGCTAAGAGTTGTAAGGCATTCCCCCTTGCAGTATTCTAGGTTCTCTATTGAATTATTCCAGTTTTTCTTTCTTCTTTATCAAAATATCTTCTATCTAATTCTGCAAGCAGCCATTATAACCGTCAATAGTTCACAAAATTTTCACTAGAGATCTTTCATTCAACATGAAAAAAAAGAGGCCTTTCATTCAACATACTTAAAGGACAACTGTTCTATGTAAATTTTTCTGTATTTTACATCATCATCATCATCATCATCATCTAAGTTATTCCAACTATATGGGGTTGGCTACATCAATCCAGTTTCACCATCCATTCTATTTTATGTGGTTAAGATTTCCCCTAGAATAACTTTGCAATCCTTACAGATCATTCGTTTTGTTTTCCTAGTAAGGAAAAAAATCTATTTGACTTACATTTGGTCCACTTTTAAAATTATTAAGTTTTCATCGTTCTTTTTGAAAAATGTGTTTACTATTGTCATATCATAAGCTATTTGCAAATTCTAAAATTACATCTCTTGTTCATTCCTTTCTGCAAAATTTTCCTATTTCAACCATTTTGTCCGTCTATGCCAAACTACAATATATTTGATTGCTCTAATATTTAGAAACTTCCCATAGATGTTCATAAATTATAGGGGCGAGTAAATGGGTAGGTTCTACCTAGAATTTCTCTAATATGCAACTCTAACAGCTATCAAGTCAATCATTGCTTTGATTGCTCTTTCCTTGGGTGAGTAGAGATGGTAGACCGTTCAGTTTGAAGTTAATAAAATTTTCTGTTGTTATTTGAAAAAAAACTAACTATTAATAAAAAGGATTCTATACTCTTGTGGTTTCTGATTTCTTATTGTTGGATAAATTGCAATACTGATTAGGAACCGAACCTGGAGCTAAAGTCGATGCTATGCGTGAAGCAATATGTAATACATTCCCGGAGCCAAATCGCCGCTTACTACAAAGGTACTTGATGTGCTAGTTTTGTTGTCTAATATTCACATTTCTTAGAGTTTCTAATTATGTAAATGAAATTTGATTTAGTCCCCTCATATTTGAAGACAATTAGATAAGCATCTAGTTTTAACTTGTTTCTGTTGAACCATAGTTTCCTTTGGTCTTTCCATAGATCATGGTGGTATTATCATTAATGCTAAAGCAAGGTTTTCAACCTTCTGTTGAACTGACTGGTCAAACCAGTCAGCCCATTACCCAGCCATATTTCTAGGGCCGTTTAACCTCCAAACTGCTTACTTGCAAAAAACAGTTGACTCAGACAACAACTCAGTGACCTGACCAATTGAACTGTTGAATTGTTTGACTCGATTAGTGGGTCATGTGTTAGACATTGATTCTCTTTTTCTGTTATATGTTTTATCACCATTTTCATCATTAATGTTGAGATTATTTGGAAGCAAGGGTATTCTTGTCTTTTTGTTCTTTTGTGTTTGGGTACCTATATGAGGGCTTTCTTGTAATTTCTCTCAATAGTATAAAATTCCATTCGAACCTTTCTCTCTTCTTCTCTTCTCTTTTTCTTCTTCTTGTTTTCTTTCTCAATAAAACCTAGATACTGTAACTATTAATAATAGTAATTTTCATTTATCACACTTATTTTTGTTTAATATGATAAATATATAATATTAGATATGCACAATTTTTCTTCAAAATTTCTATGTTTCCTGTAATTTTATCTAATTTTATATTTTATTATTTAATTTATGATATAACAAGTTGACCTATTTTCTTTAGATGTCAAGCTGCTGAGCTGCCATCTGGATGGAAAAGCAATTTTGTTTCTGGGTCTGTTTTTAAAACACTGCTAAAAATAGGAAAATTTTGGACATATTGAAAAGTTCATATTTAAAGGATAAAATTTATTAAAGTTATGGAAAAATTAGGAAATCATTAGATGCACTCAGTGATATTTCTGAGAATGAAAATAGAACCATGATTACTCAAATAATTGACCATCAACTCATATAATAAGAGGAACACAAACTGGTTGTTGATGCGTATATGTGACATAATGAATGAAAGGTATTATTTTATTTTATTTAAGTTCATATATAAGATTGTGGAAGATGTTTCCAATTAGGACTAGAGCAGGATGCACAAAGGCAGGGAAAAAATTTTGGGGTGTTATGCCACTCACTTAAGTAGGGGCAAAGGTGTCATTTCCAGATTAATAGAAATATAAAAACAAATCTGGCCGAATGGGAGAGGCTGACTTTTCTCTCTTGTTCGAACCAGAACTTTCTCTCCTTCTATTCTCTTCTCTTCTTTTTCTTCTCTCTCCTTCCCTCTTTCTTTTATTTCTGCTGTTATCAGTCTAACAGAATTCAAGGTCAGGCCTCTAATATGGTATCAGAGCCAAACTGAGCAAATCGAAACTGCCTAGAATTCTGTTCTTTGCGCACCCAGTCTAGGGTTTTCTCTTGTTTTCTTTGCCATCAGTTGGAGATAAGGGAAAGGGCTGAAAAGGAGTGATCGCCCTCTTCCCTTGGAGGTTTATATGCCTCCAGTTGTGTAGTTCATGGTTGGTTGTTGTGGTTTGTAAGAAGCCCTCCCTTAATCGGTGAAGAGAAGAGGGCTGATTCGTGTGATGCAGTGGGTGCCTAGTGTGGTCTGATTCTCTGGTGATTAGGTAAAAGGTTTCTATGCAGCTTTTTGTTGTGAATCAAATGATAAGTTTGTTTCAGATTGTATGGTGAGAATTCAGGTTGTAGTGTGTTAGGGTTTATGCAAATTTCAGTGTGATTCAAAGGGGGAGTGATCCTCAAACAATGTGGTGAGTTTTCAGGTAGTCGTGTGGTATGGTTGTGGTGTAGAGAGTGCAGTTTTCAGCAATAATAAGTGCTGAAAACAGTGTGGTTCAGTTGCAGTGTGGTTTAGTGTGCAGTGTGCTGAATTCAGCAATGGCCACTCTTGCACACTCAGGTATGGCTTGTCTGGCATCCACACCCAATCCCTGGATTATTTACTTTGGAACCTCCGATCACATGGCTGGAACTCCAGGTGTGTTTTCTTCTCTCTCTCATTGCCCAACACCACAATCTGTTACCCTTGCTAATGGTTCCACATCCTCCATTTGTGGTGTTGGTAATGTTAACATGGACCCTTTACCCTTATCCTCAGTTTTGTATGCCCCTTAATTTCCGTTTAACCTTATGTCAGTTAGTAAGTTGACCAAGTCTCTTAATTGCTCTATTACTTTTTCCCCTTCTTCGTGTGTTTTTCAAGATCTCAAGATGGGGATGAAGATTGGTGGAGGGCATGAAGCTGGTGGATTGTATTATCTTGATGGTGGTGGAAGTACGATAGCTATCCAATCATCTCTTTTTCCTCTCCAGTGGCACTATTGATTTGGTCATCCTTCGCTGAAAGTTTTGAAGTCTCTGGTTCCTTTGTTGAGTCATCTTTCTGTTTTGGATTGTTAGTCGTGTCAGTTGGGGAAACATCATCGTGTTCCCTTTAGTCCTAGGGTTGATAAACGTATGTCGAGTCCTTTTTCTTTGGTTCATTCAGATGTTTGGGGTCCTTATAAAGTAATGTCATACAATGGATATAAATACTTTGTCATTTTTGTTGATGATTATTCAAGGATGACGTGGCTTTATTAAATGAAAGAAATGAGTGAATTGTTTGCCATTTTCCAAAAATTTTATGCTGAAATTTGCAACTAATTTGGTGTCCACCTTAAAATTTTTCATTCCGATAATGGCCGTGAATATTTCTCTACATCATTTCAAGAATATTTGGACCAACATGGCATTATCCATCAGACTTCATGTACCTACACCCCACAGCAAAATGGGGTGGTTGAGAGAAAGAATCGTCGTCTTTTGGAAACTGCTTGATCCCTCATGCACCACATGAATGTCCCCAAACCTTTTTGGAGTGATGCGGTGCTTAGTTCTTGCTTCCTGATTAACCGGATGCCCACGTCTATCCTTGATGGTCATTCTTCATTCACCACTTTGTTTCCTACCTTGTCTCTATTTCCTCTTTCTTCTCGGGTTTTTGGGTGTGTTTGCTTCATTTATAATCTGGGGCTAGGAAGGGACAAGTTAGACACACGATCCATTAAGTGCATCTTCCTTGGCTATTCCCGGACTCAGAAAGGGTATAAGTGTTATCATCCTAGCTCTCGACGTTTCTTTGTGTGTGCTAGTGTTACTTTCTTTGAGTCTACTCCGTTTTTCTTGGGGTCAAGTAATGTTTCTTTCTCCTCATCACCTCCTCCTCTTCCTCTTCCTCTTCCTCTTCCAGTTGTGGATTCTGTTCCTCTTGTTCCAGCTGTGACCAAGTCCTTGCCTCCGATGCCACCACCTGTTGAACGGCCATCTATTTGTCAAGTGTATACACATCACCAACATGTACCAGCTCCTCCTCCAATTCCATCATCGTCGATAGATCCGGTAGTTGTCCCCACACCAGCCCCAATCCCAGTATCTGAACTTGATCTTCCCATTTCCTTGCGGAAAAGGTGAACACGGTTGTACCTTTCATCCTATTTCTAATTATGTTTCTCTCACTCACCTTTTTGCTTCTCATCACCAATTTATCTCCTTGTTATCCTCTGTTGTTGTCCCTAAGGATGTCCAGGAAGCCCTTGCCTCTCTAGGTTGGCACCGTGCAATGGAAGAAGAACTCTCAGCTCTAACTCATAATCATACATGGGCCCTCACCACTCTTCCTCTTGGTAAGTAGGCTGTCGGTTGTAAGTGGGTTTATACTGTTAAGTACTTACCTGATGGTAGTGTAGAGCAGCTAAAAGCTGGAATGGTTGCCAAAGGGTACTCCCAAACCTATGGTATTAACTACACAGAGACCTTCTCCCCGGTTGCTAAGATTGGTTCATTTCGTGTTGTAATTTCTCTTGCTGCTATGTATGATTGGCCCCTCTATCAACTTGATATCGAGAATGCTTTCTTACATGGTGATTTGCTTGAGGAGGTCTATATGGAGCAACCACCGGGATTTGTTGCTCAAGGGGAGGATGGTAAGGTGTGCCGACTAAAGAAGGCCATTTATGGACTTAAACAGTCTCCTCGATCATGGTTTGGTAGGTTCAATGAGGTGGTAAAGAAGTTTGGTATGAAATAGTGCCAAGTTGACCATTCCGTCTTCAGTTATGAATCCCAGGCTGGAAAGATCCTATTGGTGGTGTATGTAGATGATATTGTTATTACTGGACCTTGGTAAACTAAAATATTTCTTGGGGATAGAAGTAGCAAGGTCTAAGTATGGTATTAACTTGTGTCAAAGGAAATATGTCCTTGATTTGCTGGAAGAAACATGTTTGTTAGGTGCTAAACAGCTGAAGCACCTATGGAAACAAACACTAAGCTGAGCAGTGATATGGGTGAAGAGTTTGAAAACCCTGGCAGGTACCGACGACTTGTGGGTAAACTAAACTACCTAACCATTACTCAGCCAGACATTTCATTTGCGGTTAGTGTGGTAAATTAGTTCATGCAGAAACCTTGGGTTCCACATTGGGATGCAGTTCTAAGCATTGTGAGGTATTTAAAGGGGGCTCCTGGTCGTGGTTTGATATATAGAAGTGGTGGAAAACTTGAAATAGAAGGATATACTGATGTTGATTGGGTTGGTTCTATATCTGATAGGAGATCTACTACAGGCTATTGTACTTTTCTTGGGGGTAATCTGGTGACATGGAAAAGTAAGAAGCAGACAGTTATGGCAAGAAGCAGTGCAAAGGCAGAATATAGAGCTATGGCACATACTACTTGTGAATTAGTGTGGCTTAAGGAACCTTCTACTGGAGATGGGATACACTGTTGACACTCCAATGAAGCTCTACTGTGACAATCAGGCTACAATCCATATTTCCTCTAATCCGGTGTTTCATGAGAGAACCAAGCACATAGAGGTCAAGTGTCACTTTGTGAGAGAGAAGGTGCTGAGTGGAGTGATAGACACTGCATATGTTAACATAG